AAAAAAAAAAAGAGAAGCCAGATCCTAGGGCCAGCAGGTGGTGTGGTGAAGGCACTGGACTCCCACATGGGTCAACTGCAGTTCAATTCCTGGACCTAGTAGCTGGAAAATTATGCCAGGTTCACATGTGTGCATGTCCAAAATCCCAGAACAGAGAAGAGATTGTGGTGTGGCCATTCTAAGAGGATTTTTTTCTCACTTTCCCTCTCACTGTCTCTCTGGTGAACTCACATGCCCTATAGCATAAACCTCAACCCACTCCCACTCCACAAAAAAGAGAGAGAAGCCAGATCGTACATGGTGATCATGGGGGCTCTACCTCCAAGGAGAAGTTAGTCCCCAACCTGGTCCACCTAAAACACTCCAGGCACCTGCAAATGCCCAAGATCTGATGGACTGGAGGAAGGGGACTAAGGCAACATGACTAGACCCTGTAGTAAGTGCTCATGTCTCACAAGCTTGCACATATGCTCTCTCATGAATAAAAAGGAAAAAAAGTTTTTTTTCACTATAAGGCATGTGTGCTTGCCAGAGAGACGGGGTGAGAGAGACAGAAAGTGAGAAATCACCCCCAGGGGGAATGGCCACACCGCAATCTCTTCTCCATCCTCCTCTCGGGATTTTGGGCACATACCTGGTGTGAGTTTTAAGCTGCCCAGTCAGGGACTCAAACCACGGTCAACTACATGGTTATCCAGTGGTGTAACTACTATGCTATCTGCTGGCCCTGGCAGAAAAACTTTAATACACGAATCTAGGTGTTGCTGTGAAGGTATTTTGTGGATGTGATTAGCACCTACTATCAGTTGATTTTAAGACTACACTCAATAACCGGGGTAGGCTTCATCCAATCACAAGGCCTTAAGACCAAAACTGAGGTTTCCATGAAGAAATTATACCTGTGAGGGCAGGCTCTGTGGCAGTGGTAAAGGTACTACTTAGGAAAAGATGGATCCCACATGACAACCATGGTTTGAATCCCAGCCTAGACAGCCTGAAACGTGCCATGCACACACATATGTGCCCAGGATCCAATGGGCTGGAGGAAGGGGACAGCGGCATGACTGAGCCCTGTGGAGGGTGCTCATCTCTTATGTGCATATACATATGTTGTATCATAAAGAAAAAGAACTTTAGAAAGAAATGTGTATGGACTGAGGTGTCCGCTCCTACCCTATGATTTTCAGGCTTGCCTAGTCAACCCCCACAATTGTGTGATCCAGTGCAATTCCTTGTCATAAATATAAAAACAACTGGACAAAAGGACCCCAGCCTTCATAACTGGCTGCCACAGAACTAGCACAATGAGCTCATGAACAGTAGCCACGATGGCTGCAATGGAGGCAGGACTCCTCTGCCAGGCAACTCCAGCTCCAAGGCTCACATTGATCTTGCTGAAACCTAGAACTGCAC